CTAAGGTAAGTTTGACTAAATAGGTTCTAAATGACTTGCCCTACACCTCCCAAAATATATGCATCGACCTACCAAACACGCTGTATAACACTCAACCCAACTTTTTGTAGAGAGAGTTTGTTTACTTTTTGCGAATCGAATGCAGTACAATATATGTATCTACGGAGGTATCTACTTTTTCTAAGTTTCAAAAAATATAAAAATGAAAATTCTGCAAAAGAAAACTATACAAGTGATAGGTCTGTCCTATTTATTTTTGAGCTTTGCTTCACTTATGGCTGTGGCATTTAATAAACGACTTCAACAAACGCAAACCATAGACAAAGAAGGTAGAAAGTGTAGCCCAGCAATAAAAAAAGCCAGAAGCACATTATTCAAAGACATGTGGAAGCTTGATGGAGACCCTTTTTTTCAAATACTCTAGAATGACTCAAGATCAATTTAAATATTTATTAGATTTGCTTGAGAGTGAAATTCAAAAAGATAAAAGTCACCACAGAACCAAAATAGCAGATTGGAATTGTTTTTCTCTGTAACAGCTGCTAGAACAGCTGATAATGGCGCTTGCGCAGTTTGAATCTTGTCTCAGTGTTGCCAGAGATGGTACAATTGTACCGAGAATTGTACCACATTTGGTACCATTCGCTTTGAAAAAGTAGGCTGGTACGATGCTGGAATATTTGGTACAATTTCGAACTTTGCCATTTCTTCCAAATTTCCAAATAAAGACTTGGTGTACTGTCTACTTAGTCTAATGCCGATATTGTCCTTTCTTATGAGGGTGTTTGCAATGAAATTGATGCAATTCTGGCAAATGGTTTGGAATGTTCTTTGTATTTGTGGGGTGATTTTAATTTGCCGGGAGTTTCTTGGGATAATTATAATAGAAACTATTTTATCGAAAACAACAACATATGCATACAAACTCTGTGTAATTGCCTTTCTTTAAACAACTTGAAGCAAATGAACACAATTTTTAATGTAAATAATGTAATGCTCGATCTTTTGTTTTCAAATAATTATGTTACCGATGTGTCTATTGCGGATTATGTTTTGTTACCTATTGATCAATACCATCCAGCTCTCTGCACTACAATTCCTGTGGAACAGATCAAAACCTCTACTGAAATGAATTATGATTCCATATATTATAACTTTAGAAAGGGTAATCTTATTGGCCTAAATAATTTTTTGGCAGGGATTGATTGGTGCACAGTGCTTGATGTGAGCATGGGCGTAGACAGCATGGTTGATCGGTTTTATGATGTCCTAAACAATGGTATTGAGCAGTTTATTCCTGTGTCTAGATTGAGGCCGCCTAAGTTTCCCAAATGGTACAGCAACGAACTCAAAGTGCTTATTATTGAAAAGAAAAAAGCACATAAGGTGTACAAATGGTCTAAAAACTGGTCTGATTATTTGCTATTTTCAAACTTCAGGGAACAATGTAAACTTCTTTCTAAGAGATGCCATTTAGATTTTATTCAACAGTCAGAAAATTCTATCCCTGGAAATATTAAATCTTTCTGGAACTATGTTAATGTCAAACGCAAAAACGGTGGTATTCCCGAGTATCTGTATCTGGGAGACTTGGAAAGCAATAATTCAAATCATACAGCTTCTGGTTTGTTCATGAAACACTTTCGGGCGGTTTACAAGTCAGACATCTACACTAACACTAATTTCACATGTCAGAAGTCTGTCAATGTGGGCTCATGCTCCATAGATTTACAATCTATATATTCTGCGCTTTGTAATTTAGATACTAACAAGGGGCCGGGACCTGATGGTATACCGCCCATCCTTTTGAAAGGTTGTAGGTGCTCACTGGCAAGGCCCATGCATATGCTTTTCGCTGAGTCTCTCAGATCGGGAGTATTTCCAGAACGGTGGAAGCATAGCTTTATAACTCCAATTCATAAAAGTGGTGATAGATCTGATGTTGAAACATATAGACCTATCTCGATCTTGAATTCAATACCCAAGTTGTTTGAGGGTCTAATTGTCCATCGGGTGAAGAGGGATATATTTTCGATTATTATTGAGCAACAGCATGGGTTTTGTTCGGGAAGAAGCACAACTACCAATATGATAGTTTTTACACAGTTTGTGCTGAATGCTTTGGAGAATCACTCCCAGGTGGATGCGATATATACTGACTTCTCCAAGGCATTCGACACTGTAAATATAACGTTGTTGTGTGATAAGCTCAGGGCACTGGGATTTCATGGGGTCATGTTGCTCTGGCTGAGGTCTTACTTAACCGATAGAACTCAATCTGTGCGTTTGACTGGTGCAGTGTCAGAAGAGTTTCTGGTTACATCTGGTGTTCCCCAGGGAAGCCACTTGGGTCCGTTTCTTTTCAATTTGTTCATAAATGACTTAGAGGTGTACCTTAAATGTCCCTTTTTACTGTTTGCCGATGATTGTAAAATTTATAGTATAATTGATTCTGTGACGGATTGTGAGAAACTTCAGACGGACCTGGATGCCTTTGCTGGGTGGTGCCAAACTAATAGGTTGGATCTTAATGTCGCCAAGTGTCATGTAATGTCATTTTCGCGTAGCAAAAATAAAATAGAGTTCTCATATCATATAAATGATCAAATGTTGGGCGTTGTTGAGAAGGTTAGAGATTTGGGTATAGTCCTTGATACAAAATTGAGTTTCCACTTACATTATGATCATATAATAAATATTGCCTACAGGACTTTGGGTTTAATTTGCAGAATGGGATATAGCTTTTCAAATATATATACGTTGAAAATATTGTTTCAAGCGCTAGTTAGACCCATTCTGGAATATGCCTCGCCTGTTTGGTCACCTAGCTATGAGACTCATATTAAAAACATCGAAATGGTGCAGAATAAATTTTTATACTTTGTGTCTAGAAAATTAAATATATTTTATCCTAATTATTCTGCGACTCTTTTAAGGTCAATAACGGGGATGCCCAGACTTTCGACTAGAAGACACAGTGCTGATTTATTTTTTTTGTTCAAAATATTGAATTCGTTTGTTAATTGTCCTGAAATTCTATCCCAAATAGACTTTTTTGTACCACCTAGGAATACTAGAGGAAGGTGCACTTTCATGCAATCCTTCCATAAGTATAATTATGGAGTCAATTCTCCAATATCTAGATTTGTTAGAGAGGGCAATGAATCCAACATAGATTTCTTCAGCATTACGCTTGGCGGCCTGAGGACTGTGCTTTCTGGGAACATTGCTTGAGATTTGAGATGACAGTCCACTGCATCGCATTTGTTTATTGATTTGTCATTCTGTTTATTGACTTAGATTTATTCTGGATTTAGATTTAGTTAGGTTTAAGTTTAGTTATGTTAAATTTAATGTATTATATTGAAATTTAGTTGTAAAATGGGCTACCCGTTGATAAATAAAATAAAATAAAATATTGTAATTAATATTGTTTTGAATTCCTGAATGTAAATTCGATATAAGAATCATTTCTAATTTGTAACACACAATGTAAGACTCATTTTGTCATTCTTGGTTTGTAGTTTGTGTTCAGTTTGGGTTTTCACTTATCATCAAATTAAAACAAAACGAGCTTTTATCCTACCACATAAAAATTATGGAAACATTTTGTCTTAGTCATAATCATAAAAGTTAAAAGTTGCCAACCGTGAGTTATGCTTATGATTATGATTTATGTATAAACGGTTCCATAAGAAAATATTATTTTAACTCTTATGACTAAGACTATGATTATGAATATGACTATGCAAATGTTGTATAGGTAAACCCGCCTAAAGGTAGGATTTTTAACTATCCGGCATTGCGGTATGCGGCAGCGGTGTGCGGTACTGCGATGTTGCGGATATCGCAACCCGCATGCTGTTGGCGGCCAATTTGTTTTTTAACTGTCAGGCAAATATTTTCGAAGTCGCGATCAAAACATCGAATCAGCTACTCGTCATACTATTGCTGCGATTCTCTTGCTCGAAGAAGATGAAGAAGAGGCAGCCTTATTTCACTGTTGTGAAAATCGCAGTAAAATGTCAAACATTTAATTTTAATTGATTAGAAATTAATACTTTCAATTCATTTCTTTTATTTACTGCCCTGTTCCTAAAAATTGGAGCAGTTCCTTTTCATTTTTGACTACCAGAATTCGTGCACAAGAAAGAATGTATAACATTTTCATTGAACGTCACTTCAATGCAATGGCTGCAAGAATAGAATTCAAAACTGTAGTATTTTGCCAGGTCGTGGGGCGTCGCACACTACTGCGGTGTCGTCGAAAAACATTTTGGAGTTTTTCAGTGGCACGCCGCAAAGACAGCTCGCGATGCCGCAGTGCCGTTGCCGCATAACGCATGGTAACAAAACAGCCCGATGTTACAACATGGTACACAACTCACCGGCATGTCGCAAAGCCGCACACCGCAATGCCGGATAGTTAAAAATCCTACCTTTAGTCATCACTCCTACTTTGTAGGTATTTTTAAAATTTTTAACTTCTACTGCAGAACTTTCACTGCACCCCTAGAAAAATTGTAGAACTCTTCCCAAAAAGGCAAGAACTCATGAAAAAGTTGAGGGTGCTATAAATTAGGGTGCAGTTACTTAATGTGGATAAAAAAATACTCTTGCTCAGGGTCTGCCAGCCTTTTTGAACCTCAAAGTTGTCTTTCTTGAGACACCAAATTTTTGAATAGTTGCCTTTAATTAACACATAGAAAGCACTTAAATTTTGTATAAGTCCCTAAATCTTTTTAGCTGTAGGGCTGCCTGGAGTAAAGACTTCTAGTCTATCATCATCAACCAACACTACTTTAGATAGTAGCCGTCAATATAAAAACCGACATACCCACATAAAAACCCAAGTAAAAACCTTTCCAAATCTCATCTCAAACAAACCACGAAGGCACAAATACGAGAAGCAGTTCCCAATTCTTGAACTAGTATTAGGTGAACAATTATTATTGAAGGAAAGTTAAAATATTAAATTAAAACTAATGGTGGTTACTTACTTGATAATGTATTCCAGAAATACATTATTTAACATACATCCTACTAGCACAGTTAAGATAGCAAATGTAGCTTTAGAATTCATATCAAAAATGTTGTCTTCTGATGTCTGAAGGTTGCCCTGTTTTCTAGTTTTGTCGCAGAGGTATAGATTCTTTAAATTAGGTAATGTTGTTTTAACTTCAGAAGAATCACAAATGGTACTTAACAAATTTACAATGTCATCGTCAAGTCGTTGAGAACTAGACTAGAGATAATTTATTTACTGAAGATAAAATTAATTGTCAATTTAGTTTGAATTTTCTCATTAAATAATCAAAAATAATGTAACATGTAGCAACAAAAAAAAAAGTTAGGTTAGATAATCTGCGATCTGCGTTTGTTTGTTTTGTTTAGAGGCTTTAGAGCAGACAGAGCAGTTCTTTCTGCACTCGAACGATCGCTGGTGAGTAGGGAAGTGCAGCAGTGCAGCAGAATTTCTGTTGTTCGTTTGTAATTTTGTGTTGCACAAGCTGACACCTGAGACAGGCGAAGCAGCCCATTCAACTCATAAATAACTTTTTTTTTTAAATATAATTATTTTCAACAACAAATAGTTTAGAGCAGCAGATAAATGAAACATTCGAATACAATAGTTGTATTCCTTTCAAGAGTTTAGAACACTAGAGCTACTCGCTCCGGTGTTAGTCGACCCTGATTGGAAAGAAAAAGATGCGCTGGCTTTCGCGCATTAAATGCTTATTAAATGGTTTGAGTTCGGGCTTGAGTCGCTTTCCAGTGACGCACTTTAAGCACTCCTGAGCTGCTCTGGAGCGCCCCGGACTGTTTATAGGCGTTCCAGTGCATTAGAGTTTCGCGCAACTGAACTGTTCATTTTTCCTCTTCCCCGCCGCAAGAACCAGCAATTTTATGGGTGCATCAAAAACACGACCCTTAAAGCAGGGTGCGTTCCAGTGAAACAACAGTTGTTTTGAGCTACAGAGTGTGAAGCTACGGGTGTGGAGCACCTTGAAATTCGTCACTGGCGAGCGGCTCCGGTGCAACAAACACTTTTGAAAAGGAATAAATTGTATTCCTTTCACACCTAGGAGGAGCTCCGGGGCGTTACGCGCTTTCGAAAAGTGTTTGTTGCACCTGGAGTGCGTTCGAAATCTCCCTAGGCGTGACACCGAGTGCACACCAGCCATGAATTATTCATGGCTGGTGTGCACTCGGTGTGATGCTGAGGGTGATTTCGAACGCACTCCTGAAGTGCTCAAGCCCGAACTAAACCATTTAAATGCACGAAAGCCAGCGCACCAGTCCTTTCAAATCGGGGTCGACTAGCACCGGAGCGAGTAGCTCTAGGGTTCTTTCAATATTCTCCTGCTCAGGAATACAACTTTAAGCCAGAGATATGTGAGGGCAATAGAATGCGCTTAGACGACTGCGCATCCGATTTTATGGTAACGCATAGGGTGACGCCATTTTTATCACTTTTTACTTATGCCGTTTCCGATTAGTAGATCTAGTATAGTTTTTTTGTTTCTGTCTTTTTCTTCTACAGGTTGATGAAAAAGGATGAAAGTACACTTAGTGCGAATCGAATCTACCAATCGGAAACGCCATTAGTTTTTACGTTGACAACTTTGATCTGACAGATTTTTCATGCCAAACATAACCTGATTTAGGGCGGGTATTGGGTCCTATGATTGAACGTTTACGTTATCCGTAACTTACATGCAGTGATGGTAACATTTTTTTCACGATTCCCCTTTTCAGACAAAAAAAAATCCCTACTTTCCCCTACCAACCAAAAAAAAATCCCTACAATTTTCCCTACGCTTTAATTCAATTAATAGCGAATTCTATTGGAAGGGTTAGTGCGCCCTGAGTGTATTCGAGTCTTTTTCTAAACAGCTTATATAAGAAGGAGATAAAAACACATTTTTTTCTGCATTAGTTTTACCAATAGAATTCGCTGTTGGTTGACTCAGTTGGCTGCATGAAATTGCAGAACAAACAAAATACCTGGCGCCATCTATTGACTACTGTACAAAAGTCAAATTTTCCTTAGTCGCCATATTGAAAAATCACGTGGTTTAGAGAGCCTAATTAACAAGAAAGTCATAAGTTTGTTGCTACGTTGCCAGTACTCATCTTTTAGAAGTTATCCGTTTTCCTTTTTCAACTTATATACCTATTGAAAAAAGAGAGAGGTATTCTGCAGTAATGTGGCTTGAATGGAAAGAGGAAAGATATAGGTACTAGGGATGTCTCGGTTGTCTCCTCTCGTGAGCAGTAAGAGTACGATCGATAATCGGAAAGCCGTATTTAACAAATATCATTTCTTCGAATTCTTCGTTTTTAATTTTTTTTTCCACAATATTCGACTAATCTCTGAATTTCCCTACATTTTCACAATTTACGAATTTCTGTCCCTTTTCCCTACACCAGAAAAAAAACATCAATTTTTCCCTACATGTAGGGAAATTCCCTACGTGTTACCATCACTGCTTACATGTTAGGCGGAGTTTTAACACTAACGATGCAAGTTCGTATGATGGAAAGTTTTTCATAACAGATTACTGTTATTTTCTGCCTGTTATGTTCTAATTTAACATATCTCCTCAACAGCCCCGAATAACATGCCGTTAAGTGCTTAGCGTTCATGTTACCAATGTTTTTTTAATTTTTTAAAAATCCTATTTTGAATATTTTGAATGACGGGGTAATTAATTTACATAATACAAAAAGAGAATCAAACTAGGAGGTACCTAGGTTATAAACTTCATTACTATTTTATGTTAATCAATTATGAGGTACAAAACCGACTACAAAACTTTAATTAATTCACTATTTGAGGACTGAATTGAACATTCAAAGAAGAGATACCAGAGATCAATTGAAACTCCTGATAAGGTTTTATTACTAAATATACTAGACTTCCAAAAGTTCCAAAAGAATCGGTGCAGTTTATAATTGCAAGAATAATGCCCCATTTTGATATTCCTCAAAGACCAAGGATTTCATCCATTCCAGTTGAACTGAAGCTCTAAATTCTAAAAGTTTATTCTGAATTCTTAGTATAGTTGGAACTGTTTTTCATTTTATATAAGGCAGTGGTTCTAGTAGTGTTTTTATTTTCGTGTACAAATGATGTCCACTCATCAGAGATGTTTTCTCGCGTCTCGAATTTTTTCAAACATTTTTCAAAACTGGTTTGAAACAGTTTCCCAATGACGTTATAACTTCTCGGCGCGAGAAAATGGTTCAAAAACATGGATTGCATTGTATTTCGGAACAGTTTCAACCAATTTTGTGTGACGTCATGGGTTCATCACGAGAATATACTATTTCAAACCTGTTTTGAACCAGTTTCAAAAAAGTGAACGCGAGAGAACAGGGGGCGGATTACGAACTCTCGATTCGAACCGAAACCGCCATGGATTTTGAACGCACTCCATGCAAATGCATCAGAATGCGTTCGAAATCCATGGCGGTTTCGGTTCGAATCGAGAGTTCGTAATCCGCCCCCAGCTCTGATGTTTTTTCGAGTGTTTTTTGGGGTCCAACTCCCAGGACATTTATATAATTTGGAAATGCTAGGTCCCCATTCCCCATACTGTTTCACAGTTATTTTAGATAGTCTTTTCGCCCTAATAAATTGCAAAAAAATTTAATTTAATTGTTTGTTATTGTTGTTTCAAGAAAAACGTCACTTTTGAAACCAAAGTGAAGCTAGGTACAAATACTTTCTCCCATTCCTAACAGCCAGCTTAACATTTTCTGTTATCGATTTCGTCAATCATACCGATATAACATCTACTGTTATTTTATATGTTATCTATTCCCTGTTAGCATAACATAACAGGTTTGTGTTAATTTTAACGTAAACGTTCAATCATAGGACCCTATAAAACTACTTTGAGAGTTAACTTAAAGTTAACTTCTGGAATTACATGTAATTCAAAAAGTTAACTTCAAGTTAACTGTTAAAGCAGTTTTATAATACCCGCCCTTAGGGTGGGTATTATAAAACTACTTAAGGCGATTTTCAGCCTGGAATGATTATTATTTGGTTATAACCAATGCATTTCCGCCGTCGCGGTTTTAACCCAAGTAGGGGAAGTTGCGATGTCACATATCAGCTGATTTGCTTTTGGTATTTACCACTTATAACCGATTATAACCCAGCTTTGGACTTGGGTTAATCTTTTGGTTACAGCTTTTTGATGCTATTGTTATTATTTTTGGAATTTGTATTGGTGTTTTGTGATTTTGCAGTTGCGTTGTAGCCTGGAACAATGAAAGAAGTATACATTCACTCACTCACTGCAATTCACCATGTTTAGATCGAGGTTTAGATCATCTCCAAAGAAAATCTATTCGATAAACGAGACTAACGAGAGATTCAGCTCCATTTTTTGTACCTGAACAAAAAACCATTGTTGAAACAAAAAACAAATAAGAATAATAAACATAATCCTACACTGCTATAACCAAATCATTTCAGCGGTCAGTTCCTTGGGTTATGATTCTTGAATGGTGGGGGGCTATGACGTCACACTTGGCTGTCAAAGTTGTCAACCAAAAGAATAACCACGGTATTTACCGATAAATAATCATTCCAGGCTGAAAATCGCCTTTAGAGAGTTAACTTAAAGTTAACTTCTGGAATTACATGTAAGGGCGGGTATTATAAAACTGCTTTGACAGTTAACTTGAAGTTAACTTTTTGAATTACATGTAATTCCAGAAGTTAACTTTAAGTTAACTCTCAAAGTAGTTTTATAATACCCGCCCTAATTCAAATAGTTAAGTTCAAGTTAACTGTCAAAGCAGTTTTATAATACCCGCCCTTAGGGTAGTTTTATACTCGGATAAAGCCTAGTACTCATAACTGCGAAATTCGCATTTTTTTGACATTGCTTCGACAATTTGACGTTTGATACACGCATAAAACGTCAAATTGTCAACGCAATGTCAAAAAAATGCGAATTTCGCAGTTATGAGTACTAGGCTTAAGGGTGGATTTTCATGCATCCGTTTGTTCGACGAAAGATGTCCGTTTAACATTCTATTCTGACATAATCGTATAAAAATATGTCAAAATAGAAGATTTTTCGGACATATTTCGTCGGACAAACGGATGCATGAAAATCCACCCTAAGGCATTTTACGCCAAGAGTTGAGGTCTGCGGCTGAAATGGCAGACAGTTTCAGCTCAATAAGCAGTCCTATTAGTTGTATTCCTTTCAAGAGTTTAAAACACTAGAGCTACTCGCTCCGGTGTTAATCGACCCCAATTTGAAAGGAACAGATGCGCTGGCTTTCGTGCATTTAAATGGTTTAATTCGGGCTTGGGCCCTTCAGGTGCAACA